TCCTTAGAATATATCAAAATGTGTTAAAATGTATACACAGACACTTAATCATTATAATCCACTTTTTTATTCATAGTTGTATCAAAACGTCACATTTTTAATGAATCAACGAATGATCATGGATGGAAAAACATTCTTTAATTCAGTTTAATTTTTAAAGTAATGAACAAAAAGAAGAATATCAGAAAGTAACAGACTCTGAGAGCTGAGAAACAGAGGAGATCTGTAGCTATGAAATCCACCAAAGAAGCTGCATCATTTCCACACAGGACGTGTTGCTGAAGCTCTACTCGGAGCAGCGGTCAGGGTCCAGGGTTTGAGTGACAGGGCTCTGTCCATCCAGACCCGCCTCACAGCTCACTGAGCCCGCCTTCCTCCACTGGTCTGCAGTGAGGCTCAGGGTGCTGCTCCAGCTGTAGCGGCCGTCCCTCCCCAGGAACTCCTGGCTGTGTGACACCCCTGAGGAGGAGCTGCTGCCCCCCAGCTTCCAGCTCAGACTCCAGGCGGAGGGGAAGCCGCCGCTGGCCAGACACACCAGTGTGGCTGCGCCCTGCTGCAGCTCCTCTGTGGAGGGGGGGAGGACGGTCAGGGTGGGCCGCACCACACCCACTGGAGGAGAGAGAGGGGGGTGATAGAAAATACATTTTAAAATAAACAAAAAATAACTTCCTGTTGATTTCTTATATTTAATTAAGTTAAGTAAGTAAGTAAAAACAGAGTAGGTTACGTTCCAGTTGCAGTCTTAAATCACTCTGTATCAGACCACCGGCCACATGATTCAAGTGTAAATGTTACTAAAAAGGATTTTCAATAACAATCAATCATGTAGGTTTTCTAGTGGATAAATTGTGATTTTCCGTTAAAACTGACGGTTTAAAAGCACAAATACAACTAAAACCTTTGTCATCTGTCTCTTTCACTTCCTTTTCACTAAACGTAAAATCAATGAACCGTGAACACAAAGATAAGCTGCATTTACTGATAAAATCATATCTTTGTTGGACAAAAAATCCACTTCACATTTTAAATCATGAAAACATTTAATATTTTCTAATAATATTTAAATATTTTTAGAACAAAAAGTCTTGTTCGATCAAACTTTTTAAAACAGTCAGAGAAAAAGGTTTTATGAGAAAGAGAAAATAATGTACAGAAATATAGTTATTTATCCTCTTTAAAATGAAATGACACACAAGACTGATTCACTTTAGATGTCTGAATCGTTCTCAGTTTGTAAGTTCAGATCGATGAAATAAGTAAATTATAATGAACAATCTACAAATACTGATACTGATCAGAGTTTAGTTACATTTTCTATATTTGTAATAAAATAAGAATCAGTGGTACTTACAATCAATGAAGAGTTTTGTTCCTCCACCAAACGTGAACCACAGTGACACAAACCCATTGAGTGGCTGTACAAAAACCTCCTGCTCCACCAACAAGCATCTATCCGCTGAAAAACTCAATACTGTTTGAAACAAAGTCTGCTTTCTTAAAAATAAAATGTTTCTCTGCTGATATAGACCTGAATAATCATTTAAATCAAATTCATTAATTTTATCTTTTCATTTACAAACCTGGTAAAGAAACGATCATGATCTCTTTGTAACAAAGTCAGCTTTTCACAGCTTTTTTTTAATATCACGTGATAATTGGTTAAGTTAATTAATAATGAATAATATCAAAGTTAAACTTCGTGCTGAGCCGAATTTCAATATGCTATTCATTCACAGTTAACTCTGTCAGAAAACGAAAGGCAGGCAAACACACACATGATACCAACCAAAGTGAACACAAATGTCCTTAAATCTTCATCTTCTGATATAACTGTTTCTTCTATTCTATTAAGACCATCGTGTTGAAGCGAGCAGTATTCCTTGGCTTGGTGTCCCACGTTGCCCTCACTCTTTGGACAGCAGTGAAATCATTTCCTTAGAGAGGAGGCTTTGCATCGTCAGATGATCCTCCAGGGAACTGAGAAGGTTTATAGTCCTGTGACTTCAACGCTGCAGGACTCACATCTGTCAGTCAACACAAACACAAGCACCATGACTCTGATCACATCCTCATGTGGACGCTTGCCTGCTGCTGCTTTACAGGTTCATTCACTCAGCAACACGTCAAACATGCTGGGCTGCTCTTTCTCTCATGTATTTAAGTAATGATTTGTGTTTGTCTGCAGGATGCAGCGGTCAGGTGACTGTGACTCAGCTCTGCTCCAGGATCTACAGCCACTCTCACCTGCAAGACCAACAGAGATGTTGGAAACTGTAACCACGGTCAATGTATGTTCTGGTATCAACAGAAATCTGGACAGGAACCGAAGTTCCTTATAAAACACGTGAGCATCAAACATTCAGGAACAGCTGCTCGGTTTAGAGGCAGTGGAAGCGGCTCCGACTTTACTTTGAGCATCAGTGGAGTTCAGACTGAAGATGCAGCAGTTTATTCAATTCATTGGGTTTTAAATCCCCCGAGGACAGCATCAAATTAAAGATATGAATAAAGATGATGGGGACGATCATTCTCATTGCTCAAGCATTGCTAGTAATAGAGTGCATTTAATCCGCTTCCCTTAAATAATTCCACCTCTACTACATTTTATTTTGAAACATCGTGGTTTTCACACATTTATGAGCTCATTACTTCACACTTAGATTTCCCGTATAAAATACTAAAGTAAGTTGAAAATATTTGCATCAAATATGCACAACACATTTTAGTAAAAAAAAACGAGAAAAACAAAACAAAACAGTATTGTGTGTATTTGATCAAGTTAATAGGCCACTTTGACTCTCAGGTTGTAGTTATTTTACTTTCATTCACAAGATGGCAGTGTAGATCAGATGTAAGATGCATTGAAAGTCTCATTCTCACAGTTTAGATCACACACCAGGTGATGAATCCACGTCACGTACAAGTCAGAGAATGAGCGATTAGAGAGGAAGAAGTTTTTTTTAATCCTTCAGTTAACGTGTTAACTGCTGTGGGAATGTAAGGCTTTGAACTGGCTTTAAACACAAGACATTTTCTTTGTGTACACAAATGTCTGTACCAATTCATCCTGAGTTCCCTGAGTTGTTTAATGATGGACTCAAAACCACAAAATGTGTTGATGAGCCTGAGACAATCGAGTCCAGCAGTGTTTGGAGGTTGTGTTTGACCTGCTTTGAGTGCTACATGAGACGGGTTTTTTACCTCTTTTTACAGTTTTAGAAAATTTGATTAAAAGCCTTTGAACTTAAACAGATGTTGGATGTAAAACCCACTCGTATGGTGCTCAACAGGTTGGGCGCAAACACACAAACAGACTTGTTGATACTTTCAACAGGCTGGAAAACATCTTCCAGTTACATGTTTGTGTAAGTGGTTGAGTTCTAAAGGATTGTGTTGTTGTAAATCATGAAACCAACAACTTCTGGCTTTGAATATCATCCACACAGTATGTAAATTATTATTAAAGGAGCACTTAAGGCTTGTGTCTGGATCATTGAATGGGCCTTTTAGGGATCCCAGCGGGCAGAAAGTCAGACGGCTACAATGACAATAAAATACATTAAGAACAAACTGAGAACAAGCGACAAACAACCACCACACATTTGTAAATCGGGAGACCGATGCAGAAAAAAGGATTGACTACAAAGAGAAACTTAACAACAATGACGAGACACTACGAAAAGTCTGAGGAAACTATTCCTGAAAAAGGAGAATAGGCTTTTGTTTTGTTGGTCACAGGTTGATAATCTTATTATCCATCTGCAATATGAACAATTCATATTTATTTTCCGTCTCCCGTTTTGACCAAAGAGGGTGGTGTACAGCAAAGGTCTAATGTATTACAGAGTGCACATTGTTATTCTCTTGTAGGATCTGTAACTCTCCTGTATCAAAGTCTGCTGGTGAAGGAGAGTTGATGATGATCTCAGTACCTGCAGGAACCAGAACAGCCTCCCAAACTGCTGCTTTAGTCGGATCAGAAACAGAACCTCTGATCAGTGGAGTGGACCTTCAGAAACCTGGACAGGCTCCAAAACTTCTCATTTACGACTCATCAACCCTCTTCTCTGGAACTCCTCCTCGATTCAGTGGCAGTCAATCTGGTTCTGACTACACTTTAACCATCAGTGGTGTTGAGGCTGAAGATGTTGGCGATTACTACTGTCTTGGTTACCATGGAGGTGGAGTGTTCACACAGTGATTTAGAGCCGTACAAAAACCTCCTTCACTTTGATAGCAGTGAAATCGGCCTGCTGCAGGTGCAGAGGGTTGGTGGAGAGACTGTGGTGAGGAAAACATGGTCCAGTGAACACAACACGAGAGTCATCAAGCAGAACCACAATGAATATGAATAAAACAGAAGCACACTTACAAACACACTATATGAACTAAAATGAAATGTTTATTCTTGGCAGTTCAGTCAGTCTCTCTATGAATTATTAGGGGAGGTTAGTTTCTTGTTGGACCATAACTTCTAATGTATATATAAAGAAAATCTTCTCAATTGTAGCTCTAATGATGGCTGCTTGTAAAACATTCCAAACAGAAACAAAATATATATTTCATTCCTTAGAATATATCAAAATGTGTTAAAATGTATACACAGACACTGAATCATTATAATCCACTTTTTTATTCATAGTTGTATCAAAACGTCACATTTTTAATGAATCAACGAATGATCATGGATGGAAAAACATTCTTTAATTCAGTTTAATTTTTAAAGTAATGAACAAAAAGAAGAATATCAGAAAGTAACAGACTCTGAGAGCTGAGAAACAGAGGAGATCTGTAGCTATGAAATCCACCAAAGAAGCTGCATCATTTCCACACAGGACGTGTTGCTGAAGCTCTACTCGGAGCAGCGGTCAGGGTCCAGGGTTTGAGTGACAGGGCTCTGTCCATCCAGACCCGCCTCACAGCTCACTGAGCCCGCCTTCCTCCACTGGTCTGCAGTGAGGCTCAGGGTGCTGCTCCAGCTGTAGCGGCCGTCCCTCCCCAGGAACTCCTGGCTGTGTGACACCCCTGAGGAGGAGCTGCTGCCCCCCAGCTTCCAGCTCAGACTCCAGGCTGAGGGGAAGCCGCCGCTGGCCAGACACACCAGTGTGGCTGCGCCCTGCTGCAGCTCCTCTGTGGAGGGGGGGAGGACGGTCAGGGTGGGCCGCACCACACCCACTGGAGGAGAGAGAGGGGGGTGATAGAAAATACATTTTAAAATAAACAAAAAATAACTTCCTGTTGATTTCTTATATTTAATTAAGTTAAGTAAGTAAGTAAAAACAGAGTAGGTTACGTTCCAGTTGCAGTCTTAAATCACTCTGTATCAGACCACCGGCCACATGATTCAAGTGTAAATGTTACTAAAAAGGATTTACAATAACAATCAATCATGTAGGTTTTCTCGTGGATAAATTGTGATTTTCCGTTAAAACTGACGGTTTAAAAGCACAAATACAACTAAAACCTTTGTTATCTGTCTCTTTCACTTCCTTTTCACTAAACGTAAAATCAATGAACCGTGAACACAAAGATAAGCTGCATTTACTGATAAAATCATATCTTTGTTGGACAAAAAATCCACTTCACATTTTAAATCATTAAAACATTTAATATTTTATAATAATATTTAAATATTTTTAGAACAAAAAGTCTTGTTCGATCAAACTTTTTAAAACAGTCAGAGAAAAGGGTTTTATGAGAAAGAAAAAATAATGTACAGAAATATAGTTATTTATCCTCTTTAAAATGAAATGACACACAAGACTGATTCACTTTAGATGTCTGAATCGTTCTCAGTTTGTAAGTTCAGATTGATGAAATAAGTAAATTATATCGAACAATCTACAAATACTGATACTGATCAGAGTTTCAAGTTTTATTTTCTGTATTTGTAATAAAATAAGAATCAGTGGTACTTACAGTCAATGACGAGTTTTGTTCCTCCACCAAACGTGAGCCACAGTGACACAAACCCATTGAGTTGCTGTACAAAAACCTCCTGCTCCGCCAACAAGCATCTATCCGCTGAAAAACTCAATACTGTTTGAAACAAAGTCTGCTTTCTTAAAAATAAAACGTTTCTCTGCTGATATAGACTTAAATAATCGATTAAATTAAATTAATTTATTTTATATTTTCATTTCAGAGCGGGATAAAGAAACGATTATGATCTCTTGGTAAAAAAGTATTTTTTTCGCAGTTTTATATCATGTGATAATTCGTTAAATTATTAATAATTAATAACATTAACTTAGAATTGAGCCGAATTTCAATATGCTATTCATTCACAGTTAACTCTGTCAGAAAATGAAAGGCAGACAAACACACACATGATACCAACCAAAGTGAACACAAATGTCCTTAAATCTTCATCTTCTGATATAACTGTTTCTTCTATTCTATTAAGACCATCGTGTTGAAGCGAGCAGTATTCCTTGGCTTGGTGTCCCACGTTGCCCTCACTCTTTGGACAGCAGTGAAATCATTTCCTTAGAGAGGAGGCTTTGCATCGTCAGATGATCCTCCAGGGAACTGAGAAGGTTTATAGTCCTGTGACTTCAACGCTGCA